CTTTGCATTTCCAACCCTCATAATCCGTCCTGATAAGCATTATTCACTACAGTATCACGAGTTAACCCATCTGTATCTCCTTTCATCAGCTCTGCCCAGACAGATTGAATAGTACCTACTGGAGATTCTGCCTTCCGCCATGCTCCCTGGCATTATGTTACCTCTTGAAAGCTTGTAAGCCAGTCACTTCTTGCCTTTGTAGTTCCCCCCTCTCCCCATTTGTAGTCCCCCCCCTCCCCAAGCTGCCCTTCTCCATCCACTCTGTGTGTGGGGGTGTGTGTGCATGTTTCTTGCTGTGAGGATTTGTTCCCTCCTTTGAGTCGCTGCTCCATAGGTATAGGTCAAGTTCATCAGACTGTTTCTGCTCTTTTTTTTCCCCCTCTTCTTTCCTCTCCCTCTGGATGAGCTCCGATCATCCAGTCATCTGGTCCAGGTCACGTGGGCATCATCTGCAATTGTGGGAACTCCTGTGCATATGTCCTCTCTTCCCGTCAGCTGGTAGCTCCGGTCTCCTCTCGAGTCCTCTGTGGCCATGCCACTGACTCTGGGCCCAAGAGTCCCCAGGCCTCCTCACACTGCTTGCCAACCAGGTCTCCAACTGGGTCCACAGAAGTCCACTGAACATTGTAGAAGCCATAGTATTTTTAATAGCTTCATTTTGTTGTTGTTGTCGTCGTGTGCCATGGAGTCGGTTCCGACTAATAGCGACTCTATACAGGGTTTCCGAGGCTGTAAATCTTTACAGGAGCAGAAAACCTCATCTTTCTCCCGCAGAACAGCTGGTAGTTTCAAACTGCTGATCTTGAGATTCGCAGCCATGTGTGTGAAAGTTGAACAACAAATAAAGAAGACCATAGAAGAATTGATGCATTTGAGTTCTGATGTTGGGGAAGAATATGAAACGTACCATGGACTGCTAGAAGTACAGACAAATCTGTGTTAGAAGATCTACAGTCAGAATGCTATTTAGAAGCCAGAATGGCAAGACTTTGTCGTTCATACTTTGTACATAATATCAGGAGGGACTAGTCCCTGGAGAAAGACATCATGTTTGGTAAGTGGAGGGTCAGTGATAAACAGGAAGACCCCCAGCGAGATGGCTTGGCACAGTGGCAGCATCAACGGGCTCAAGCGTAATGACTGTGAGGACAATGCAGGACTGGGCAGTATTTCATTCTGTTGTACATAAGGTTGCTATGAGTCAGAACCAACTTGATGGCACCTAAGAACAGCAACAACCACCATACCCTGCTGTTTAATTGAGAAAAGTCAGAGAGAAGTAACACTGAGATTCATTCATAATGGATCTAGCAGTAAGGACAGAATATAGTTTAAATTGGAATTTAGGAAGGTGTGTCATGAAGCCAAATTTTAAGTAGGGTACATGAAGCTGAAGTCACTAGGAGCACAAGGATGAGCTGCTCATTTGTTATGTCGGAGGGTCGTTTACTCCTGTTAGCACTCTCCACAATCCCTAGTATCATATCTCACAAATTATAGTGGATTAAGAGTGCTTTCTGTGGATTGTAATGTGATAGTGGGTGATGGATCCTTCTGTTTAAAGGCTAGAAAGAACCACTAAATGACAGAGAGTGCCTTCATAGACCTTATTATTGACTCTGCTACAGATTGAATTTTGTTTCCCCAAAAGATATGTTGAAGTCCTAATGCCTGTCCTTGTGAACCCCTATTGAGAAATGGGGGTTTTGACCCTATTATCAGTTAACATGGGTTCATACTGCAATTGGGTGGGTCCTAATACTATATGACTGGTATTCTACATAAAAGAGGAGAAAACACATAGATACAGGGAACTATAGGGAGGACACCATGTGATGCTGTCACGCAAGCTGAACAATGCTTGGTGGTACCAGAAGCTAGGAGAGAAGCATGGAACAGTATCCCTTTTAGAGCCCTTAGATGGTGGTGGAGCATATAGGGAACAAAATTATGAAAATTTCTTAGACATTACCTTTTTTTTTAATGTTTTAGTGTGAATTATGTGATAGTTTACATGGGAGAACAGTTTTACATTCATCCAATCGTATATCGTTTCATTGCCATGGTTACAGTCCCCTCCATGCATCATCAACCAGCCAAAGGGTATACAGTACAAGCCTGCCCCTCTCCCTTTCTGGTTCTAAAGTTAGATATTACCTTGAAGGAATGAGTTGCAGGGCGTGGGGGCTCAGGACCATAGTTTGGGCAGACACCATTGTCAGTTGGCATAACATAGTCCACAACGTTCTATATCTGACATTGTGAGTAGCGACTGAGACCTTAAAAGCTCATGAACAACCATCCAAGATGCAACTGTTGGTCTCTCCCTGCGCAGAGGAAAGAAGACTGAAGAAAACAGAAGACACTTGGAATCAGTTAGTCCAGTGACTAATGGAACATGCGAACATCAGTTTCCACAATCCTAAACCCAGAAGAACTAGATGATGCCCAGCTACCATTACCAACTCTTCTGATAGGGATTGCCTTAGAAGGCCCTAGATAGAGTGGGAGAAAATGTGAACCAAACTCATTATAAACAAAGACCAGGTTTATTGGTCAGAAAGATTGGAGGAACCTGAGACTATGGTCCTTTGTCACCTTTTCAGGTCTGGAACAAAGCTCAACCTCATGGCTTAATTTCCAGCCAAGCAATGTATATATGGCAGGGACAACAGCATTAGTGAGGTATGCACACCAAGAAGGATTAACCATTTAAGGTTAAAAGGGAAGTGGGACAACTGATGTCCACGGAGAGGACTGTGATCACTAAAATGAAACAAAGATAATGATTTGTTGAATGTAAAACTGATCATCTGTAAACTTTCACTCAATTCACACAAAGTGAATTTTAAAAAGTCAAGATAGCCAATATTCTGATTTGCTCTCCAGAACTCTGAGACAATAATTATCTGGAAGCACAGTGGCTCTGTAAACCACAAGATCGAAGGTTTGAGCCCACCAGCTACTCTGCAGAAGAAAGATGAGGCTTTCTGCTCACACAGAGATTTACAGGTTGCTGAGTCAGAACTGACTCAATAGTACTTAACAACAACAATAAGCCACCCACTTTGTGATATTTTTTTACAGGATCCCTAAGACACCAATACAGGCCCTTTCACTGTCAGTGAGCTCAAGAATCAATTTGTGACCTATCACTGGGACCTGGATAAGTATCTGTTTCACCAGTTTGGGAAATTTCCTTTTTTAAGAGTTGTGGAGTTTAAAAGAGTTCCTGTTTTAAGACTTTTGTGAAAGGTCAACTTACATTAAAATAAGCCATCTCAGAAGACCATCTTGTTAGATAATGACCTTATTGTGAAGTGGTTAGGGAAAGAGAAAAAGGAAGTAATGTTCAGTAAACACATGCTTAGGTAGGTATAGGCATCATCTTTAGAAAGTTGTATCTGGAAATGTCTCAGAGAGCCAGGATTGGAACTCAGGAATTTCTGGTTATGTGTGTATTTTAAATCTATATCAGATATCCATTTATCAGATATCCAGCAATATAACTCAAGTAAATATTTTGTTCCTACCTCACAGTGCTGTAGATCATCCACAGAAAGGCTTTTTAGTGTTGCAGGTGAATGTCAGCCTCTGTCTTTGATCACCCCAAAACTTCCTGGTGCGTGCAAGGCTCCTTGGTAAGTACGCAACATCCAGGATTTTTACTTGATTTTCAGCTTACCCTTATTTACCCTCTGGAGTCTGGCCTCACCCTAAGATTAATGATAGTGCTATCCTGGGGCTGCTGGTACTGAAAGAGCATTTCATGTTTCAGGGATCCGTGACATGTGAGAATGTGGCTGTGTCACTAACCTGGGAGGAGTGGGGACATCTGGGCCCAGCTCAGAGAGACATCTCCAGAGAGAGTGCACAGAAAGAGTGCGGGAGCACAGTTTTGCTGAGTAAGTACTGTCACTTTTCATGTTTATAATTGCATAGTTGTCAAGGGCTGGGTTCAGTATTATAGAGTAGGATCCCAGAACCAATCTGGCATTCGCAGATACAGGCTGAGAACCTGAGAGTCTCCTTTGTGGCCCCAGCAGGACCTTTCTGTCCTATATTGCCAGGACCTTTTCATTTTGGTTCATTTTTATATATGTGTGTGTGGTAAACATATAACAAAACATTTGCCATCTTACATATTTCACCTGTACAGTTTAGTGATACTAATCATGTTTGTATTGTTTTTCAACATGTACATATATCTGTTGGTGTTCTTGATTTCAGTTCTTTTGGGTCTAAGTGGATTGCTGAATTGTAAGTAGTTCTTATATGTTTAACTTTTTGAGGAATTGCTAGACTGTTTTCCACAGTAGCTGTACCGTTTTATAAACCTACTAGCAATAAATCAGGGGTCCTATTTCTCTATATCTTCACTGATACCTGTTACCTGTTTTTGTTTTTATTTTTAATCATAGCCATCTTTGTGAGGGGTGAAATGATATCTCATTGTGGTTTTGACTTGCATTTGCCTTATGATGAATGAACAGTGAGCATCTTTTCATGTGCTTTTTGGCCAGTTGGATTTCATGTTTGGTGAAATGGCTTTTCAAATTCTTTATCTGTTTCTTAATTGTATTTGTCTTTTTGTTGTTAAGTCATAGTTCTTTCTGGACATTAGGCCTTTAGCAGCTATATGGGTCTCTATATTTTCTCCCACTCTGTAGTTTATCTCTTCACTGTGTTGATAAAGTCTTTTTTTTTTTTTCTTCCATAAAAAATAGTGGTTACCAGTGGCAGGAGGAAGGGGGGTGTTAACAAACACTTTTGAGGATAGCCAGTTATATATCTGTAAAAAGATGAATTGGCAAAATTGTGTGTTAGATTCATTTATAACAATGACACACATAAAAAGAGTAGTTGTCAAGACTTCTGATGTACGACCAAATACCTTATGGGATTTGGTTGTTTGGTTTGAAGGTTAATGTCATAGTTTCATGGGACATCCCAGTTAATTGGACTAATATGTTTAGGGTTTCTGTTCTCCCTGTTTATTGTGTCGTGTTCATGTCCTAAGAGCTTGCAAGTAGCCATCCAAGATACAACAGAGGAAGAAAGAGGTAATTTTTAAAACTTTAAATCAAAAACATCCTCTGAAGTCTTCTTAAAAACAAATAATAGTTTAGCTTAACTAGTAAAAATAAGATCTTCCTTAAGCACTATGCTCTCTTAAGAACTATTCAAATGACAACAACAACTTGGAAGATTAGAGAGGAACCTTAAGGCGCAATGGGTTTATGTTAATGGAGGAGGAACAATTCAGAAAAGGAGGTTGAGAATGGTTGCACAACTTGATAAATGTAATCAATGTTACTAAATGGTACATTAGAAACTGTTGAGTTGGTGTACGATTAAAGTCTTTTGATTAACAAAAGTTTTAAAATTTTTTGATAAGGCTTCATCTTTAGAAAGCTGTATCTGGAAATGTCTCAGAGAGCCAGGATTGGAACTCAGGAATTTCTGGTTATGTGTATATTTTAAATCTATATCAGATATCCATTTATCAGATATCCAGCAATATAACTCAAGTAAATATTTAGTTCCTACCTCAAAATTTTTGTTGCTTGTGCTTTCAGTATCATATCTGAGAATCAACTGTTGAAAACTAGATCCTGAAGCATCACCCATATGTTTTATGTTTTATAGCTTGTTTTGAGCTAGTTTTCCTATATGGTGTGAGGCATGGTTTTAACTTTATTTTTTTGTTTGTGGAATTCCAGTTGTTCCAGTCCTAATAAAGAGACTATTCTTTTGGATTATCACTGCATCTCAAGGTCAGGTTGAACTGCAAAGTTAGTGGTTCAAATCCACTAGCTGTTCCTTGGAAACCCTATTCAGGGTCGCTGTGAGTCGAAACCAACTCGACAGCACTAACAAAAAGCAATTATTTTACCATTAGCTAGATTTAGCACTCTTGCCAAAGATCAGTTGATCAAAGATTTGCAAGTTTATTTCTAGACTTTTAATTCGATTCCATTGGTTTATATGTTGTTCTTGTTTTGTTGAGTGTTGTCTAGTCCATTCCTGACTCATAACGATCCTGTGTAGGTTTTCCGAGGAGGAGCTGGTGGTTTGAACTGTTGAACGTGTGGTTTGCAGTTCAGTGTTGATCCTACAGCGCCACACTGTTTTTATTATGATAGGTTTCCTTTTTTGTATATTTTCCTGGTGTTTTCTTCATGCTTTCTTTGGGGATTACATTTAACATCCCAAAATTTAACAATCTAGTTTAAATTGATACCAACTTAACTTCAATAATATATAAAAATTACTTTCCTATGTTGGTTCTCTCTACTATATATTGTTGTTTTAAATTTTTTAAAAATTACATCTTTATATGTTGTGTGTCCAATAATGTAAATTGATAATTTAAAAATTACATTGCTCTTTTAAATCATGTAGAATGTAACAGGTAGAGGATATAAATGAAAACCACCATAAAGTTGGCCTTTACGTTTGCCCATTACAACCGCAAACTGCAATGCAGTCCCTTTCCTCCAACTTAAAGGCCCCCGGAGCATATTTTTTGGTCAGATGCAATAGCCATCTAATGCTGCTGTTGCACAAATGCCACAGTGGGTGGCTTTAAAGAACAGAAATTTAGTTTCTCATTCTTCTGGAGGCTGAAAGTCCAAATCAGAGTCTCAGCCGTATTGATCCCTTCCTTGTCAGTAGCTGTAGTTGTTGTCCTTTGTTCCTTGGCAGTCTGCGTATAGGCATCTGTCTTCCCTAGTTTGTGCGTATCTTTATGTCTGTTTTACTTTTATATTTCAGAAGTCATTAGGTCAGAACACACAGTACACTGATGTGGTCTCTTACTATAACCAATCAAATAAACAAAACCCTAAGGATAAACACTGGACTGCTCACTGCAAGGTTGGTGGTTCAAACCCACCAGCTGCTCTTCAGAAACCCTTCACAGGGTCTCTGTGACTAGGAATCGACTCGATGACACTCAACAACAATTTCCAAATAAGAGTATATCCACATTTATAGGGATTAGGGTTTCAACATATGTTTTTGGAGAACACAATTCAATCCATAGCAGCAGTCTATGGTAAAGAACTCACTTAGCTTTTGTTTAGGTGTTCATTTCACCCTCACTTTTTTTTTTTTTTTAATTCAAGGTTTTTATTGTGGATTGAGTTAAAGTTTACAGGGCACATCATCAGTTTCACATTCATCAATTCATATAACTTGTTTCATTACATTGATTATAATCCCCTCCATATACCATCA